AAGTTGTTTGAAAATTAAGTAATTCCAATTTTGCACTGAATGGCCCGATAAATACGACTCTTTAATAATTTTGGAAGGGGTAGTTAAGAGGTAAGGAGTCATTCCAGATATAACATGTCATAATTTAACCTATGTGTTCTGTTTTGCAGATTCCAGTATATGGCTAATCACTTTCATATAGTTGGTTAAATTGAATAAATTTTAATTGAAATAACATTTGTTGTTGTTTTTGTGGAGTATGTTGCTGGGATGGGGAGTGGGGAAGGGTGATTTCCACAAAGCTGTCTAAGGGATAAAACCACAGTTCGATGAAATGTCGTTTATTGGCTTTACTACGATTTGAATTGTAGAAATATGTTGACTTTCGACATATTGGCGGGAAGCCATTCATTTTTATAGTCCGGTAAAGATTCACCCTCACCCCACCCCCTAAAAGTAATCTGGAAAGGATTAGGAGAAATTGTGCATTTTGGGTACGCTGTCACCAAATTTTTAGTGCAAAATTGTAAGGCTGGAGTCGATGTGCCATAAGACTCTATTTCATTCATTCATTCGTATAGCTTTGGTATATTATTTCCCGTTAATATGTTGGACATAGGTACGGCTTAATAGAGAGTCAGTCATATACTTGAGTCTTGGGGGCATACAATCTAAGAGTAGGCCCCAAGCACCACCATACTTATGCACGCCACTGCCAATAGATTTAATTAAAAACGAAATGCAACACCAAATAGAATAATAAACAACCAGGTTGATGATAATCTCTTTAGCGGTGTTTCACAAAGATAATGGAAGTATCATGGCCAATCAATTCTCAGATGTTATGAAATATTAAAACTGGAACGATTTGTAATTAATGCGTTTTAACTTGAGTATTATTAGAGACTTTTGGCAAGTGGAATTTTTCCCATTCGCATCGCGTATCCGTATCGTTACGTGATACGTTTCGTTAATGTAGTTTTAGAGTTTGGGCAGATTTTCACACCGCGTACGTATGGGTAGCTGAGATGGGCTTAGTTCTATTACAGCATGATGGCAGTACTAGTCAAGTGCCTAGCCTACAAATTCCTAAAGGGAGTAAAGTCGCTTGACAGTCGATGAGTCATTTAACATTTTAAAAAATTTAGTATCGAATCTTATTAAAAATTCGACTTCGATTGGGCAACAATTTTTGGTTTCACTAATGTATTATTTCAGAAAGTATATACGTCTTTACAGATTTGCAAGGTCCCACCTCCCTAAGTTTAGCACGTAGATCAACCAGCATGCAGACAGACAGGAAAAATATGAAAATTCCGCGAACAGCTCATCAAAAATAATGATTAAATTCCAATCTTTTTCATGGTTAAAATCACATCAAATATACACCTTCGTGTTCTAGGATACACATAGATTCATAAAAACGCTACTGCACAACATTTCAGCGTCTAAAAGAAGCCAAGAATGCGGTAAAAAAAGACGTCGATGTTGTACGGGCCTTTTCCGAGTGAAAGCTGCAGTATCTCACGTATGAGAAATACACACGCACTGATGACGTCACACGCAAAATCGAAATGGATACGCGATACGGTCCAGGAATTTGCGCATTCCAAATCACGTAGCCAATCAAACAACGAATCCGGAATAATAGCAACATTACAACGCCCCATCAACACAGGATTATTGGTGTATCTATGTATAAAATAATGTAATAAAGCAATAGTTACAGGATTATTGGTGTATCTATATATAAAATAGTTGTAACAAAGCAATACCTACAGGATTATTGGTGTATCTATAAATGAAATAATGTAATAAAGGTATAGTTACATTGATAAAAATTGTTTTATTTATTATCTTAAGTATCCTATTACACAATACATTTTAAACATCTGTTCATTTTATTCAACTGAAGCTAAAAACTATACACTTAAAACAAAATCACGATTTGGGGCAATCTGACCCACTCCTCTTGTAGTGGCACGGCCAATTCTATCAGTATTGACGGTTGACGTTGACGTCAACGAACACGTCTCCCAATCATGTCCCAGACATGCTCTATAGAGGAAAGGTCAGGACTCATGGCTGGCCAAGGCATATGGACAATATGGTGACGCTGGCGGAAGTCATTCACGACACAAGCGCGGTGGGCACGGGCATTAACATCTTGAAAGATGAAGCGTCGACCTGCACGTTGAGCAAAGGGCAGAACTATCGGTGCCAGGATGAGGTCACGGTAGTACACACCAGTGACCCTTCCTTGAACAATATGCAAGTCCATTCTGCCAGTCGTGGTGATTCCTCCCCACATCATAACAGACTGTGGTACCGGTTCCACAGTCTGCTGATCACAGACTGTGACACATTAAGCATGTTGGCTACTGCTCGCTGTGGTGTAGAACCCATTTGAAGCCTGCCAATAGCACGTAGACGTTCATCATTTTGAAGACGTCTCATTGCAAATTAAACGTAACACACTAAAGCAAAGATACGCTAAACAGTAAACCTTATGCAAGAACCGATAGGAAATCAAACATGGATAGGATAAACCAGCACGCGGCAGTTTTCATCAACCCTTCCTTGAAGTGTCAAATTTGAAATTAAACCCCTCCCACGTGTTATGGCGCTATTGCGTGTAGCATGTGCAGCTCAGTGGTTCTGTTGGGGCGATAAGTTCTTCATCTGTGAACATACTCTCAAAGCATGTCAAGTGTCCATGACTATTTATCATATCACAACCTGCATAGGTATTTGCATAATTATGGCCCTTGATTGTACGAAAAATTGCGTTTTTAGCTTGTTGTCCCTGTAGAGGTTACAATTTTTATCCGATTTAAAAACACAACGAGTGAATATATCACCGTTACACACTAAGATCTTGGTTCCTTTTGATAATCGCGCATATCCGAACGTAACTTCCTTGATTTTGGCCCCTGTTTGTTCGAAAAATCCCATTTTTAGCTTGTAGATTCTCTAGAGGCAACAATTTTTTTCCGATTTGAAAAACCGTTTAAATATGTCACCATTTCACCCTAATGAAGGTTGAATTCGAATTTCGGGAAAATCGAAGTGAAACTGTCAGACAAAATGGCCGCTCTTTGTACGCAAATTGTGTACAAGTATATAATACGAGGTCACAATTTTTATCCGATTTTGATGAAACTTAAACAGTATCTTTATATCCCAAAGATCTCAGTCCCTTGTGATATTTGCGCATTTCAGACCATCACTTTCTGGATTATGACCCCTGATGGTACAAAAAAATCGCTTTTATTTTTAGCTTGTTCCCTATCCATCTCTTGCAAAGTGAGGGCGCATCTTGCCCGGCAGCCGCTGGAATTTTTTTTTTTTTTTTTTTCGGATCTAACAAGCAATCCATTCTGCGAGCAAAATGAAAGCGTTTGCTTAGCAGTTAAAGAGGTTTTGGATAAAATCGACTACGAATCTACGCCTATTGTAAGAAAACAAAACGTGTCTGACAATATTAATAACAATTTTATAATTATATATAAAAAATCACTAGATGAGATTAAAACAAAAAACATTTTTATTTACTACGATTAGATTCTAAAAGTTAACCATTATCAATAAGTAAACGGGAAGAAGCGAATAGTTTTAATTTAGAAGAAAGTGAAATCTCATGTGTCTTCAATTTGGTCTATAAAACCAGCATTAACAGTAACATCAGGTTATAGAACTTCCAATGTAAATACCGCCATAAAATTATATTTACAAACGACCTTTTATTTAAAATCCAATTAAAAGAATCTTCTTTGTGCGATTTTTGCTATTCAAATATATAGAAACCACAGAACACATTTATATATATTGCAATTACGCACAAATAATATGGAATGGTTTGCATAAAATATGTTCAACTAAAGACATTTCAGTACAATTACAAACATTCATTTTGCTTTTTTGAAAGAAACAGGTTCTAAATCATATCGTGAATTCTTATTTATAAATCATTTCATATTTTGAACAAAATATTACCTCTATAAATCGAAAATAGAAAATATTAGTCCTACAATTATTAATTATCGAAACTACTTGAAAGAAAAAATGAATTAAATGAAACTTTAGTAAATTAATGAGATTATACAACATGAATATTATGCATACCTTTCTAGGATTCCTTTCATACCTCTAGCTATTTTTTGTATTTTTGTGTTTTGTTTTTAGTTTCTTTGTCTTTCTTTTTTACTAAATGAATTATAATATAGCTTTCAATAATAAATCGGTGATCTGTGTGATTATTGTTTTGAAATTTTAATGAGATTCTAAGATTTGATGTTATACATTGTGAATGTAATGTAAACTATGTATTATGTCGTTTTATTGATTTTGTTTTTAAAAAGAAGAAAGATAAAAGACATGAGGAAACGGCCGGGAACATTCTAGGCCAATAAACTTTACTTTATCTGATTTAATCTATGTATATCCCAAGGTTAGCCTTGCAGATGGCAGATACACATTGCAAATCATGGCGCACTCACTATAAAAGGCATATGCAATACTTGAATCGCTACTGAATCTAATCTCCAGTCAGGTGAGCTAATTAGTTTATTTATGAGCCGCTTACTTTATTTATGAGCCGCTTACTTTTTAGTTATGTAAGGGAACGTTGTTGTTTCACATAACCTCACATATTGAGTCTGTCTAAGTAAATGAGATGGACAACTGGATCCGTCAATAGTGAATTTCAGTACATAACCCTGATTGGGTTTATAAACAATATATAGTCGGAGCTGACGAAGCGGCCACTTCTGGGTAAAAGTTTAAATTCTTTGATTCTCTCTTGACAGTCTAAAGGGTGTATCAGGATTAATCCGTTTTGAAGCCATATATTTCCCAAGCAGTCTTAAATAGGTATAATATGGAAATTAAACAGAATTTTAAAATTATATGATCTATACAGAAAAGAAATTAAACAGAAATTTAAAATTATATGATCTATACGGAAAAGAAATTTTTTTTTTTTTTTTTTTCAATTAATTATAAAATCGTCACACTTCTTTTTCTGTTTTAGAAATCAAAATGAAATTTGCCATTGTTCTTCTGGTTCTATTGCCCTTGGCATTTACCGCCAATCCACTTCTTGACATCTTCAACCAACTCAAAAAAGGTACGTTCAGAGATTGTTATTGTAATATATAATAAAGCAGATCCAAGCACAAAACATCTCGTGAAATTTTCTGTAAGCGAATTCAGCTCCAAGAAGGAACGAAGAAACTGGTGTAAAAAATGGACTGGCCTGTATGTTAGAAATAATCAATCAAATTATTTTTTATTTCTCCCAAGACATTTAGGCGTGAAATCACTGGCCACGGGTGTAAACTATAAATGGTTTAGTGTAGAAATTATAAGTTTTAATATTTATTAGACCAACATAACTATTATAACTTTTAGTAAAAATTCATAATATATGACTCTTTTCTAGTGACAGTCAATTTCTGTATATTGTTTGCTCTTTTGTGTTATTTGATATTTTATGTTTACAATATATACTGTTAATTCCAGATATCCATCTTGATGTATTGAAGGAAAATGTAAATAAAATCGCTGCTGCGATCGGAACTGATGCCACAGAGGCCCAGTGTGAGGTCGAATGTCACAAAATTGCCACTGCAGAGATTATTGGTTCTGGATGTCCTCTCTTCTGTAAATCGTAAGTATTGTCTTTCTGTCAGTGAAGCTCGTGATTAGAGTACAGAATCTTCATTGGTTTATACGAGCTTGGCTAAAAATAATGGATGAAATAATAGAAGTGTAAGTTTAGAATTTAACAAGATCAGATAACTGATGTCGAGGTACACGTTTTGGCTCCGTTCTTTTTGTATAGGTTTCAGCTACATAACAAGGAAGGAACAAAACATAACATTTACTATTTTCTCTTTTTCAGATTCCAATTTATGGCTACTCACTTTAAGATTGGTTAAGTGGAATAAATTGTAATTGAAATTTGTATTTGTTATTGTATTTTTTGATATACTATTGTGTGTTTTGGTGGTTAAATCGTCTGCACGTCAATATTGGTAGGATGGATGCCTGTCTAACCTCGTGGTTTTCCCTACGTTGTGTCCTCATCGCTCTAAACATATCAATCTCCCTTTGTATTGCCGCAGTTGTTCATATGTAATCCGCCGGCCATGTTTGAAGGGGAATCAAGCTAGACAAAATGCAATAAACAAGCGACATTAAGACTTGCGCTACCGTAAGATACACGACTATTCATCAACAATTTTAGACTCTATCATTCCGACAAATGTTCTACGAATGGGAATATCTAGGTTATTGGCAAGATTATCGGATCTTTTAATGTTATGTCGATGCCCATTTGTCATTTCAGAAAAAAAATATTTACATTGCTTATTTAGCATTCGACACTCCTATTTTTTTATTGTAAAATTTCGTATCTATAAATCCTAATTCGTTGTCGTGATTCTTATTTGTTCCAAATAATGCATGATTTATGGGATTTATTTTAGGAAAGGGTGCAGCTCTTTCAGTGGCGGCGTCAAGGGGTGGGGGCATTTTCCTTCCTAAAATCGGAAACACATGAAACAAGCGCCATGCATTAGGCTGTCATGGTCAAACTTGTATATGGCATGGTTTTCATAGATGTCCGATGCTCTCTTCAACCATTTTCGGGGATATTACCCCAGAAACATGCTGTACAGAATCCAAATGTATAAAGGGGCATAACTCTGCACTGTTTTATCATAAAATAACAATTTTGGTCTCTTTATAAATTAATGTTTTTGGGGTCATTCTTTCATTTGAAGATAAGCCCAGTGGTTTCAAGTGGTTCCTTATACCATTTTCGGGGAATCCCCAACCCCAAATACGTATACTCATAACTCTGCACTTCTCCATCACTTACTGGCATATATGGTATGTACGTTTTTGGGTCCCTGCCCCCAATAACCTGATGTCCTGGAAGATGAGTGAAGCAAGACAAGCAAATAGATGTGCAAGAAATTATTTACCAATTTGTTCTTCATAGAATGAAGCGTGATGCCGTCTATATGATTTCTAAGACACATGAGGGTGTATTTTATTAACTGAGCAACTTTAGCTAAAATAAGCGCCTATCTCAGTTTGCTGTGCTATACAACGTTATAGTTTGCATCATATTTACTGTTATACATTCATAGAATCTCGAGGTAAAACCAGTAGCGGATCTAGAGGCTGTAAGTAGGAGGGGGTGGGGGAAGTCCGAATCTTAGGCCGCCATCCATAACCCCACCCCACAATGAATGTCAACAAAATACTGGCACTAATACTGGGCGTCCCGGTAGGAAATAGATCCTTTTGCCTGTATAGTTGTTCGACGATCGTTATCTCGCTGGAAAGCAGTTTTATTCAAGTTGACACAAAGTTCGTGTCATATTATGATTTTTACTGATTTTGTTATTAATTTTTTGTGAATCTTAGGGCCAGTGGCTATAATACAGAGTAACCCGAAGAGGAGAAAATCTGAGCCAATATCCAGGCGTTTGGGATCATTGCTGGGAGCAAATTCTTGTGAACAAGTGGATCAGAAATGGCAATCAATGGGACAGAATCTCGAGATCTGCCTGTCAATTCCGTCTGTTTTGTGAGAGTTTACAGAACAGTAGTACTGTCTATCGCCTCACGACCCAGACCACCGAGGAGTGGAAGAATACTACCGTAATAGAATCGAGCGTCGTAGATATCAGATAGCAACGTATAATATATAACCGAAATTTTAATTATTTGGGACTGGGTCTGAAAATTTTAGTCAATTTCCAGGCATTTGATTTCACTGGTGGGGGCAAATTCCTGTGAACGAGTGGATAAGAAATGGGAAAGAATCTTGAGGCCTGCCTGTCAATGCCGCCTGTTTTGTACAGTCTGTCGCCCCAAGGCCCACTAACTAGTGGTACTACTAACTTAGGGATTCGCTATAATCGTGAATATGATAGTGATACGATAGTATGAGACCTATGAGATTAGTGAAAGAATCGTGACATTATGGCGACTTATAATAATGGCGACTTATAATAACTGAGCACTTAATTTTTTGGGACTAGGCTTGAGGGAACTTTTTCTCACGGGGGTGCTTACATTGTGTCATGGAAATAAGGATGCGACTTTTTCATTTCTATTCTACTGTATGGGAAGCCCACTGTGTAATAATTCTTGGAAGTTTACATGCCAAATCGCATTCCATTTATGACATAATTTGTATGGCACATAGTAAAGCCAGCAGTTTAAAATATGAGATAGTATTTTTCTATAATGTTAAAGGAATTTTTGTATGTATCATATTATACAACTAGTTAAATTTTAGCAATTATAAATGAAAGAATGACCCCAAAAACATTAATTTACATGTTCATATTACACTTATAGGTCTTAAACCAAACGTTTAAGATTTTCCTGTACATTGATCATTTGGCGCATGTCAGCCATCTTGGATTTTACTTATTATTACCGCTTTAATTAAGGGGCCAGTTTACAGTACTGGCTATATCTTCAAATGAAAGAATGGCCCCAAAAGCATTAATTTATATGTTCATAATACATGTATAGGGTCTTAAACCAATAGTTTAGGGTTTTCATATACATTGATTAGGCAAATGTCGGCCTTCTTGGATTTTAAAGCTTTCCGGTGCGCAAAATTTGGGGGGGGGGGGATAAAATCATTAATTGACTGGACTATATATATGAAAACACGTGAGCCACTTGCGAAGTGCTTTTTACGATCCTCAAAGTGTTTGGACATAGTTTCAACGCGGCAAGAATATTCATTCACTTGATTCACTCACTTTGTTCGTTTGACACCTCCCTCTCGTTTCGCGTAGGCTATTGCTTCGGCGACAGACAGTATCTGGTTAGCTCCATTTATCTTGACGACCAGTGTCAGAAATACTGCCAGGCTCCATTTCCGGCAGTCTATTTCTCAAAATATCGTGGCGAAAATATTCATTCACTTTGATTCACTCACTCCGTTCGTTTTACACTTCCTCTCTGGTCGGATAAACTAGTGATTTGGCGACATGCGGTATCTGGTAATCTCTATTTATCTCGACGATCAGTGCCTGAAATACTGCCAGACTGCATTTCCGGCAGGCTATTTTCTAAATTTTCGGGAACTTCGTTGAGGTTACAATTTCCTCCCTGGTCGGATAAACTAGTGATCAGGCGACAGGCGGTATCTGGCCAGCTCTATTTATCTCGACAATCGGTCCTTGAATACAGTCACGCTGCCAGGTCTGAATTTAACGCCTGTACCCATGCACAGCTCTTAGTTTTTGAACATGTCATCTAGAAGGGGATTGTCAATAACGATTGGCCATCGGAGAGTGTGGGGATACAATGTAATGCGGGGGCTGTATGGGGGAGGGGGCGTTCAAAACTACGCCAGTTGACTCAATGACAGACCTTATAATACAGCTCACATGTGCTAATCACATTTCACCCCAATTGTAGACATTGGACCACCATATCTCGAAAACGCCCCCTCAAACGCCAGATCACCCCACAGATTCGGAATCTACGCAAAATACTGATCTAGAAACTTAGTCTCATAAACACAGCTCGGGTGGCGAGTCCCCCCCCCCCTACACACCCCCTTCAGCCACCGGACTAATGGTGATTTGATGTTGATTATTAACAACAAATTCAAAATGATATGATATATAGTGGTTTTACGTACTTTATACGAGCATTCAAAGGGCCCAATAACTTTTAATAAGGGGGCGTCATCCGCTTTCTCCTTCCTTACTAATGACCGCTTTGTTTCAGTTAGGTATAGCGTGTATAAAACCTCTGTTTGAAAAACACAAGTTGGTTTTATGGCTTATTATTGTTTATAATATTTTATATAATATATATACAGGCCTACATGGGGTCACCAAAATCTGCTATGTGCTTAGGGCCTCTTTTGGTGTTAGACGTCTGTCTTCTACCAAACTAAACAACTTATTAAAAGTCCAAAAAGGTCCAATAATTATTGTAGTGTGTAGTGTGTTAACAAGATGGACGGGTAGCGTTGCCGCAGCCAGGTTCAATCCCACCTCCAGACACTGCGCAGATTGCACTTTATTTTATCATTGTTTTGAAAACCTTGTGACGCATTACAGATATAAACTGTCAAGATAACAGTATAAACAAATTCACTTATAATCATGTTTCTATGATACGTGTAATGTTTATCTTTTTGTTGGTTGGAGATCAGGTGATGGGGGGGGGGGGGGGGGTGCCAACCAGATATCCTGAGTCTGCCATTGCTATAAGGACCAAATGTATGAAAATTACTTGTCTCGATATCTTGTAAATGGTATACAATCAACAGTTTTTCATTTGTAGTTAGTGATTAATTTGTGGTAAAATGACTGATAAACTTTCATTTGGCACTAGCTCCTAAAGATACTCATTGCAGTTCTTACCAGACATTAATTCACACGACAAGCCAATAATCAATTCTCTAGAACATGGTCCCGATCTTTAATGGATTGAAACACGATCGCCATTTATTAATTTAATTCAAAAATGGATATTCGAGACTTTGGTTATTATCGTAACAATAGTAGCGATGAAAATCGCTATTCTTATCAAAACTACGGACGTTCATAACTTTGCTAAGAATAAAGTAATTTGACTGAAATTTTCAACATATGACCTTTATCTAATTCTTACATAATGTAAATTTAACTGGGCGGGCGATATGCCGCCAGTGGGCGTATAATATGTTATTTTCCAAGATGTTTTTTTCCCTTTTTCTTTCATGTGATAAAACAACAGCAATACTTAAAACGCTGGAAAGATTAATGGATGTCTTTGTCTCTCGCCAAATAGTTGATTCCCGGTGGGGCTACATCAATGCGTCAACAGGTGATTTGATTTGATTCCGTAACAGATGCTTTTATTAAGCACCACAGGCGTGTAATGCATTCATGTACAATATAGTCATGGCTTTGAAAAGGCTAGGGGAGATTTTTCATTGGGTTTTGTTCTGTTCAAATTACTGTTAGTGTGGGGGCCCCTTAGAATAGCTTAAGTGAATGGCAGGTTGTTTAAAATTATGTCAATCCGAAACGATGACTACATCATATAGCAGTATATACGGCTAAATATTTTTTTTCTCTACAATAGAATGGTTCCAGTAAAACACTGTGGTGAGAAATGTTCGTAAATAACACTATTATCCAACGCATTGCATTCAAGAGATAAGAAAACCCGACCGGTTTCAAAATAGTTTTCAGAACTAGTTTAATGTCACGATAACGTTTTTATTGACAGAACCAAAAAAAGCATGGAGGTCACTAACCTAGTTTTGAGTTGTGTTCGTGTCAAAGAAGGTTGTTTTGTCAGAACAAACACCATGTGCTAACTTTCTTCTTTTTTATACTGGAGAAGGTAAGTTGGGCGACGCTTAATCGGGTAAAGTTATAATATGGTCTTGACGATTCTCGCTCTTTAGAGACAAGGTTTAGATGTTCTTTTATTAAATCGTATAAGCTTTTTTTTAAATAGCATACTAACTTTTGAAATTCTAGTCTCCAGTTTTTGGTTGGTGTTTTCAAGCTCTGAAAGACAAGGTGTAAATTTTCTTTTAAAATTGTATTGATCATATTATGATCAAATATCTGGTTTCTTAGCATGTTTTTGAAGGAATGCCGAAGGCGAGAAATATAAATTGTCAATAGTAAAGAATTTAAGTAATTTTTACAGCAAATTATCTCGTTGGCTTCGCTCCTTGATTGAGAAATGGTGTTTCGCTGAGTAAGTCGTTTTCTTACTAACCATGAAGTCCGGAATTTAGTTCCGGTATTACCCGAGAATCCCTCCTGATTTTTTTAGCTAGGTTTACCCCTTTGATTGGTGCCTGGCAAAGAAACCGCTTCTACGGTGAGACGAAAATCTTTGGTCCCATGTACATGTTTATGTGCACGGAAAAGAACCATCATAGCTCACTCCATGATGTTCATCATCATTATCCCAGTTGGTGCAGAAAAGTAGGACGTTAAACCCCAATCCATTTCATTTCTCTCTCTATAGAACTCCAAAAAAATGATTCTACTGAAAACTGAAAGGACTTTGTGAGATGGGTGCAGGCATGACTGAATTATGTGCCAGTGTGCAGGCAATTACCTTGACTGAATTATGTGTTAGTTTTAGAATCGTCAACTGACATGGTACTAAACATCCTTTGCTATGCTACCAGATTGAGTAATATTGAACAGCCAGATTACTATCTTTATTTCAAGGTCGATTCTGTAATTTCGACAAATCACAACATTATTGTCATCAATTAATGCTGTAAGATCAAACCAGTTGAAATGTAGGGAAGACTGTCTATTATATAGCAGTCTACCATTAGTAATATAAAAGCTACATACAGTTTTACGCGGGTAATAATGGTATTATTTCACCTCTAATCTTTTAAAAAACATATGGTATAATCACATATTTCTAAGAATAGATAAAAACAATTCTTTTCACCGTTTATTTTCAGTGAGGTGTCATCACGGAGTATAGATAACTGTATCCAAGATGAAAGTAGTATGGTGTTTGCTGATAGTATTACCCCTGGTATTAACCACAGACAAGAGATTTATCTTAGGGGATCTGGTAGATAAGTTAGTGCAAGGTGTGTAGAAAAGGTTAGTTGTCCATATAGTATAACTAATTCCTAGACAGGGTGTCCTTTATCTTCCTGATAACACTCCCCTCTAGAGCAGTCCGCGTAGCTAAACCTTTCTTGTACTTTTTTATCAAAAGGATCTACGGAAAATTTCCTCCAAAGAGGGGTGGGCGCCAGACTGAAAGAATTAATGAGTCCTTTAAAAAGCTTTTCAAGCATGCATCCGGGCCGAAGCTTCCAACCACAGATAATTAAGGGGCAACTGTGCTAGAAGCATTATAATATAATATATTATATCCAAATCATTCACAACAATTTTGGCATTGTCAGTTATCTATTTGGATCCAGTATTTATTCTAATTATAGTTTAAATTGATGTGGTCATTGAAACTACAAATGTATTAAAAATATAGCATTGAGTACCTTGACGACACTTATATATCTAGGTTGGAGGGGATTCCCACGAATAGATTTGAGCTCTGTTTGCAAGAAGACGTATAGTTATGAACCACTTTGTTATATTTGAGAAGTGAATATATATAAAACTGCTGGCTCGCTAGCCTGGCGGTCCCGTATTCGATCCCTGCACTGGCCGAGAAAGATCGTCGGTATTTTCCGACGTGGTTTTCCCTTGTCAGTGATGCAGGACGAAGGGCTCTCTCATGGCACACTGTATGGTTTATATCCGTCTTCATTAGTCCAGTCGGAGAAGAACAGTAAGACGTTAAACCCATTTCATTTCTTTTCACATATAAAACTATCAAAACTTTTTTTTGGTAATATGCTTAATAAGTCCATTCTAGTTCCTATTTGAAACTAACCTTTCTGTGATTCTACGTGATATCAAAACTTCTGCTTACTGATCCATCACGTTTACGGTTCCAAAACGGGTTTGTTCACCAATTTTCGATTTTCTAAATCAGGCATTTGAATTCATCAAAACGCATATGATAAAAAGTTTGATAGATGAGTGAATTGTAGCTGTGTTATTGGTTAAGTGACGACTGTAAGCTCATCTAACAATCTGGAATTACGAAATAATGCACAAGGGCACTAAATAGACTGTTCCTCGTTCCTGTACGTTGTTCGTCATAGAACCTGGTGTGTGGGTAGTTCACCTCGTCAAATATATCGTTTGATGATCCAGATTCAGTCTCCATGTCAAATTTTCCTGGTCGATGAAACTTCATAGTTGTTTTTGCAGCTATAATAGGGATATAATAATTACTCTGGGCTTGTCGTATAAATTAGGATAAATAACACTAAAGTCACACGGCAATGAAGAATCGGGTGGGGCAGGAGTAATCGAAAGGTTTTACTCCATATTTGGAGATTGTAATAAGTAATATTGTATTCTTTTAGATATTGATTTTAAACACCTGAAGGATACCATCAATAAGATCCTGGATAGAATCGGTTCCAACTCGACTGCTAGTCAGTGTGTAACAGCCTGTACTCAAATAGCTACAAAGGATATCCTGGATGCTGGTTGTCCATTATTCTGTTCTGGGTAATTTACTAGTGTTACTGCTGTTCAGGTTTAACTACTGGTATATATAGTTATCACAACGGAATCGACCTATCTGGTCTTTTTCAAAAATGACCAATGTTATATAGCTATCGTCGACTAGTATTGTTATCCCCGTTCTGGATAAATTACTAGCTTTGTTAAAGATACATTATGTAATATCAAGATAAAGATCAGGCCGTTCTCGCTATATGAATATATTGAAAATTTCATTCAAATTACTTTATTTTGAGTGAAGTTATCAATAGTTGTAGTTTTGACTAGATGTGTGCATTGATCGTAACCACCGTACTGGTTATTCGAGTCTTAGCCTCGCTCGCTTCTCCATTAAATGACCGAACCGTTCTAATCCACTTAAAATCGGAGCTATCCGGTGACATCAAGAGTTGATGTTAATAATTGTCTAATACTTTATATAACATTTAAGGTCCAAAGAAAGACCTACAATACGTAGATCTCTTACATGTTTAACTTAAACAGCTGTATTTATTCTTTGCATATTACTTGTATTAATGCCGACATCCTGGGACGGATTTGTCTACTCTTGGTTGGTGGTAATTCCAGCATTATCGATGTCTGATATATTTGTTTTTCATTATCGCTGAAGATAGAATATATCTGGATGTTCTCGCCTAGCCGAGACGTCATTTCTGTTTAACAGTACGCCTGTTAAGGGGATTTGGGGGTAAAGTATGAAATTATTCTACCAGCTGAAAAATTTGTTTTTTGTTTTATTTCCTTTATTATTTTATGATTTAGGTTTCAACTGCTTGTACAGAAACTCCACATTGAAGATGGCACAGATTTGTTTAAATTATTGAGACATCAATAAATTTGTATTTTAAGTTTTGTCTTATCTTATTAACTGACATTTTTTTTAAATCTTAAAATAACTATGCCCAAAGTTTACTAGAGAAATTAACAAGGGTGTGTGTCATCGCCACATCAATAAATAATGTGTTCTATATTAATAATAACATTTAATGAGTTATATTAACATGTTAATAATTTGGTTTCAAAGGATATCTTTTCTGCCAGTCACGTTTGAAAATAAATATCGCCAAGGATGTATTTTTGCGCGTTATAGGGTACGCAAAGTTACTTCAATTAACATATGGATCTAACAAATAATGTCACTGGCATAAATATTGTCTGGACTAAATATAATAATATATATACTACACCCGCCATACCGTTGTAAAGTTACCGCGATAAACTTGGTCTTAATACACATCGACAAATCTCTCGCGAGAACGGGTTTCGATCAGATGACTAAAACTGAAGACCAACTTTTGGTTAAATTGTATAAAGTAGTTCAGGGCATGATTTTGGTTAATTTGGTGCCCTAGACATCAACTCGTTCAATGGCCGCAAAACGTCTTCGACTATTTCATTTATCTACCTTATAAGAAACTGTGCGCTTCAGGTTTTCTTAGACATCACTTAGATATCAAACAGATCGGGGATCTTAGAGTTGGTTCTAGCACTTGCCGCCCCAGGCTTGTGTTCAGGCGGGGTTCCTATCTGAAATGGACATGTTGAGCGCATTATTCACCCCTCACAAATTGCAATCTTCGCTGCCGTGTTGCGCACAGTAAACAGTCCGCGCAGATTCCAAACTGGTGCTCAGAAATGAAATGAAATTGGGTTCAGTGTCTTACTCCGACTGGGCTAATGAAGACGGGCATACACCTTACAGTTTGCAATGAGGGATATTTTGCATGGGCAGCGGTACTATGGCCTACTCTTAGATCGTACGGCCATGTATACACGGGACCTCGGTTTTTTTCCCATCCATCCTTCACTGACAAGAGGAAACCAAAGGGGAAACCCGATGAAATTCTCGGCCAATGTTTGGATCAAACACACAACCTTATGGCTAGCGAGCCAGCGTCTTACCCACTTAGTCACCGTGGCTCCACGATGTTTTTAAAGAATTATGAAAATAGTCTTTCAGACTTCCCATGTAACATCTGTCCTCCATGGTCTTTGTACTGTAATGATTTTTCAAATAATTTTCAAAAAACGCGGCATAATTAGCGTGCATGCTAAGAATAAGATTTAAATTCGAGTCCTCAGTATCTCACAATCTTCGCTATTTATATACGTCAACTGGCCACGTAATTGAATGTCAAAAAATATATGCTGTAATTACGGTAAACTTCAGTGTTACTTTGTATAGTGAAATAAATACAGTTATAACAAACAGCTGACAGATTTTTAAATATTTTATCAAAGTGCGGTGTAGCCTACGTGTTTCTGAATTCTGGTTAAGTGGATATGTGTATGTCTATGTGTGTGTTCATTTTTTTTTCAAAAGGCTGTCGGGCTGTGACGCAATAAAACTTTGGTCAGTTCCCACTGAAATATATTATTGTAAACTACTCCACATATATTTGCGGATTATCATCGCGGTAATCCATTAAATACTCTGGACAGACTTAACTACGCCACGCAGATTAGTCAATGGAAATTAGAAATTCGCGCTTGCGCTGGAGTAATCTGTCCGCGATGTAGAATCTGCGCTCAAGATATACATCATATTTAATTTTGGAAAAAAACCTCTTCATATACATAAACTATAAATTTTTTTTATAAAACAGTTTTATTGATGGAATGAATCTGAAGAGACGGAAATTTATCACAGTTTTCATTTGTTGCACCAGTTTTAATAATGGCATCAGTTCTAATACTATCTACAATAGTTTCTACAACTTTCTTCCAACAATTCACTTTACATGTAAAATTATCAAACACACAATTTGTAACACAGTTTTCTATTGGACGGCTTGATTCCATTGACAAGAATTTAGAGGGTTCAATCTGGTAAGCTTTCTGATTTTTGTGGCAGTTGTCTGTTGACTGAAATGTATCAGAAAAATTTATATTTGTTGAGTCAATGCCACCTTGAATTTCCGGAAGAGACATACATGTATTATGCAGATTATCTCCATGACAACTAGAGCTGCACATATTCTGATTGTGTTGAACAGTTTTGAAGTATTCCTTAAAAACATTAGAAATTTCTTCAAACACCACAGGTTTAAATAAAGTCATTTCATCCAATTTATCCCCAATGTCTTCATAAGCTAGAAAAAGAAAATAATAAAAGTTTATTTGTCTACTGTAGGAAATCATACTTATTAAAATAAAATCATACTCAAATTCGGCCATGGCAAAATGAACATAATTCAATATGTCCGTATGTGGGAAGTTCCTGAGAGGGATATAACCAGTGCTTTTCAGTGTGGGACAATAATCGATTTTTGTTAAAATCGTACAATACAAAGTAGTTAGAGAGGTGTGTGTGATTCTCTTAAAACGGCAAATGGCGAACACCCAAAAATGGGAATAATGCCATTTGATGATCAGGATACCTTTATTTCCTGCGAATTTTGTATTCTGCTTTTTAAAAATTAGAACTACCGGAAATTTCACAACAAAATGAAGAAATGCCATGTGCTGATAATACGAGAAGATGTATATTTCAAATGCTATATAAAAACTTGTCTTCTATTCCCTTAATTCATTAAACATTTGGTTATATGTGTTAATAATTCTAGCAGATGAAATAATAAATGAGGTTACCGAGTTCGATTCCTACTCCAAAAAGTAACTCTGAATAGCCCAAATGGTGTAAATTTAAAATGGCAATCAAAACAGAATCTATAATGGAGTTTCCTTCCATCTGGATATTGCTTTTAAAATATTTCTAATAAGGTTTTCAGGGGTATTGAATTCTATTTTGGGTTCAAAAATAAATTAAGAAATTCAAACATTTGATTAGGTTTCTTTTTTTAGTGCAAATTTCTTCATTTGGTAAACGTGGTTTCGATACACCCAGTTGTTAAGCATTTTCGGCCTAATATTAGTTTAGAAATTGTTAGGTATCTGTTTTTACAGTCCTTGAGGTCAATGGATTGAAAATGAGTATGGTAGTTTCAGGGGTCCCTAAACTAGTTAAAGTTATAATTTCATATTTTCTGAGAAAGTCAAAACATAATTATTTCTATGTTGTCAACTCACTATTATATGATCATAGGTTATCTTTCTCACAAATAGAAATCTTCACGCCGGAAATAATAACACAATTACCTCCCTTGTTTTTCTATTCCCCACCATGGAATAGCTATCTTTAAACGTTTGAATTTGAAGTTGAAAATGATATTTTTGCCAATTTCTCAACTGGCAATAGTGAATTACAGGATTAATAGGATTATTCTTTAACAGGGTAGGACTGATTATAGATACCATCAGTTTTATGGCTTTATTTTAATACATTTTAAAAATATAACTTAAAAATATGAAATTGTAACTTTACTGCAATAGTTCATCCTGCTATGAATAAGACCATTCAATTATGTCTTTCTTGTAAATCACTATCTTTTTTTCATTTAGAGTGAAGCATGTATTATTCCAAGCCCTTGACAGTACAGCATGGCTGGCCTCCAGATTTATTCACTTGATTTGATATGTGCTGTTTATTTCTTGCAATGTCCTTGTGTATTTTGTCTGGTCTGCAAGTTTGTCTGATCAGTTTTGTTTTGCATGTTGTGTAGTTCTCCTGCACTTAGTATATTTAGTTTCCATACATACATCACCTTTTTTGACTTTAGTCTGAAGAAACTGATAACATTTCTCTTCAGTTCTTCCACCTCCTGGTAATATCTTACTATCATTCATAGCACCATACAGTCTGTTTATACATGCCCAGAACTCTTGTTCTCTCACCTCACATCCTAACTGACACGGATGACAAATAACTAAAGTCTGAAATTAAATAATACAGGACATAAATTATCACGTTTAGTATTCAAGTGTTGTATGGGATATTATACATGTTCAACAGTCACATTATTTGGACCATTTTTAGTGCACTCTCAAATTTCGAGACATTGTGAACATCACTGAATATATACTATTCAAAAAAAGTAGGGGATATTTGATTTTTAAGTGTTATTAAAGTCACCTAATGAAACTGACGAAGAAACAAATGACAAAATGAAATGAAGTTCACATTCATCGATTTATTCCAAATGATCGTTAGACTAAGTAAGGCACAGACTGACCATTATAAGGGTAAAATGATACCCGGGGTCAAACAGCAAAGTTACCACAGCATCACAACCAAGTCAGTAACGGGTAAATCCTCCTCTCTTTGCCAAACAAGCATTGATCCGACGTGGCATACTCCTAATGAGACGTCTAAGGTCATTTTGGTCCAGATTGTCCCATTCCTGTTGCAACGCAGCAGCAAGTTCTTGGACATTGGCAGGACGTTGTTGACGTTGACGTAACCTCTGTCCAAGCATGTCCCAGACATGCTCGATGGGGGAGAGGTCGGGACTCAGTGCTGGCCAAGGTAATGTGGTGATGTTCTGTTGTTGGAGGTAACCTGTAACGATCCTGGCCCTGTGACATCTTGCGTTGTCATCCTGGAAGATGAAACGGCGGCCATGACGTCGTGCGAACGGCACAACATGGACTGCCAAGATGTTGTCCCGGTAGTACTGGCCTGTAACACGCCCTGCAACAACATGTAAAGCCGTTCTTCCAGCAACAGTGATGCCTCCCCACACCATAACAGAACCACCCCCAAATCGATCATGTCTCATGACGTTAACGTCTTGGAAGCGCTCGTTTCGACGACGCCACACCCTCCTACGTCTGTCCAAAAAATCAACAGTGAACCTTGACTCATCTGAAAACATCACATTGCTCCAGCGTCGATTATCCCAGTGTTGACGATCCCTACACCAACGACGTCTTGCCTGAATGTGATGATCTCTCAAACATGGGATCACGCGAGGACGTCGGGCGCGAAGGTGACCCCTATGCAGTCGATTCCGAATCGTCTGGCCACTCACTCTCACACCAGTGTCTGTTTGAAGACGAGCGCTGATCTGATTTGCTGTGATGACACGATTTCTCAAGGCCAAGGTACGGATAAATCGATCCTGGGCTTGAGTTGTCGCCCTTGGTCGACCTGAGCGTGGTCTGTCCTGTACAGATTGTGTATCACGGTATCTGGACCATAGCCTGCTTATGATAGACTGAGAAACATTCATCGTCCGCGCCACAACCGCCTGTGTTGTGCCGATCTGTAGCATGCCAAGGGCACGTAACCTTTCATTTTGGGTAAGCCGACGCATATCAAAATTTGTTTTCTGGTCACTAAAACAATTAAACTGATGTTTCCACCCTGGAATTCAATGCCACAATGACTGTAACATTCAAAGTCAGAGTCGTGCAAATCTTGGGTTGGACCCCCATGATGATCCCAAGCATCACCTGCATTCCATGCGGTAGCTATTGGTGCGTTTGGGCGTCACATGTAACTGGAAATGTTTCTTCTGTTAGGTTCTATAGTGACTTTTTTCGTAGTCATTTGCATATTTTAGTATTATGCCCCCAAAATCAAATATCCCCTACTTTTTTTGAATAGTATATACATGTATATATGGTAAAACGGAAAATTCCATCAATCTAAATTTACACTATCTGAAATCAAATCTTCAAATATTTTTGTGAGTACCATGTAGTAAGGGAGTTAGATTCAGGTTGTTATCCCTCTGAGTGATGAGTTAATTCGACTTCCACGTACAAAATTAATTTTTTCGTTAAAAAGTTTCACTACTGGTCCGGTAGGGAATGTTCTTAAGGGAGGAAGGAAGGATTGGGGGTCTTCTTAAGCAGTGTTTTTGGTGACATTTGAGGTTGGTACATGTATGCATGAAAGTTGATCCTTGTACGCAAAAGTCAATTTAAATCGTCATTTTGGTCATTTCACCCATGGGCCCCCGGTTTGTCGTTCTTACATGGGATGGAGGGAGATTTTGCGTTCCTATCTTAAGTTAGTGTTATATTCTAGCAGACCCATAGTGGAACTTTTAACGAAAAAATTAATGTTGTACGCGGAGTCGAATTAACTCATCTCTCAGGGGGGTAAAGGGGGTGTTTTTAACCCTCTCGTTACGTAAGCGCCCGAAACCGCCCGTAACGTCCTGTACGGGATCGCCCGATGTCGCCCGAAATGACGGTCGGTAAAACTCGGTAATTTTCCGCTCGGAACAAAACTCTCACGTGACTAACGACAACTGGAGTGTACTGTAAACATAGCAGTATTCAAAATGACGGCCTCCGTGAAATTTTTTATATTGAAGAGTTTTGTGTAAAAATGAAGGTTTTTCGTTGAATTTTTGAATGGCGTCATCGGATTCAGACGGCGATTTTAATGGATTCGATTCTTATGACGTTGAATGTGCCGAATTGAAGCAAAAAGAGGTAATAAATGACCGTGAATTGGATGATAATTTTGACGATGAAAGTGACATTGAAATTGAACAAGGACTGGAATACGATTCGTCTGGAGAGTCTAGCAGCGAAAATGATGACTTTGAGGACATATTAAATAGGGACGATCTCGAATGGAGTCAGATTACTCGCAAGGTAATTATCAAACGTTTTTCGGCAAAACAAGGACCGACTAATTTTCCAAATGTAGGTCAGATTGACATAGTTGATGGCGCCGGAGATGGTTCCAAGTTGCCTCCAGCTTCCGCATATTTTGATCAGTTGATTCCTAATACTTTTTGGGAGACATTGAAATTAGAGACAAACCGTTATTCATCTCAAAATGGACGTGATGTAAATATATCAGTGAGTGAACTGAAAACTTTTATAGGTATTACAATGCTGATGGGGTTGATTGTTTTGCCGTCCCTGAAACAATATTGGTCGTCGGACCCCTCGTTGAACAGTGACTTCATAAGGAAGTGCATGTCTCGTGACAGATATTTTGCAATTCAAAGAGATTTGCATCTCACCGATTCTACTAAACAGCCAGCTAAGGGTGCAGATGGTTTTGATCGTTTGTATAAAGTAAGACCCATGATAGACATGTGCAAAAAATCTTTTAGAGAACAATATGATCCCCCACAAAATATAAGTATTGATGAGGGTATGGTTAAGTATAAGGGTCGCCTCGGATTTGTACAATACATGCCCATGAAACCCACGAAAAGAGGTATAAAAGTTTGGATTGCTGCTGCGTCTGATACAGGTTACGTACATGCCTTCAATGTTTACACTGGCAAAAGCCTCGACGGAGTACAAGAAAAAAATCTTGGACACAAGGTTGTTATGGACCTTATGGAAACCATGTTATACGAGTATCGACATGTTTACTTCGATAATTTTTTCACTAGTATTGATTTGGCAATCGAACTCTTGAATAAAAAGACATACTGCTGTGGTACTATTCGGTCCAATAGGAAATACTATCCACTATCACATGTTCATAAACTTGCTAAAGGCAGTACCAAATTTATTCAAAGTAACAACTTGATCGCAACAGCATGGCAGGATAAAAAGACGGTGCACATTTTGTCTACGAACTGTGATGCTGAAATGTTGGTAGTACAACGCAGAACAAGAGCTGGAATTATTGAAAATGTTTCAAAACCACTTTGCATAATTAATTACAACAAATGTATGGGGGGAGTAGACTTGGGTGACCAGCTCCGCCAATACTATTCTTTTGGCCGTACAAGCCTAAAATGGTGGCGCTATTTGTTTTACTTTTTATTAAATGTTGCATGTGTAAACAGCTTTCTGATTTATAAGCTTCACATGAAAGCACTGGGTAAAACCCCAATGACTCAACTTGAATTTCGTCATTCGCTGGCTAAGTGTTTGATTGGTGGAGCAGTTTCTAAAAGTTACAGACGCACCCCAAAACGTAAATTAGAAAACGTGTTCGATGAAAGCAACATATCTGGTCATTCGCTAGTTCATTTTTCTGGGCGCAAACGTGTGTGTGTTTTGTGCAGTGCCTCAGGAAAACGCGCACCAAGTGGTAGAGGGATCCAATCGTCATTCGGATGCAATATCTGTTCTGTTAATTTGTGTAAAACATGCTTTCCACTGTACCACGCATCTCAGTCAAAATAGACATTTGTAATAACAATGAACTTGGACCAAAGATTTGTTGATATTTTGCTGATTTTAAAATGGACTATGTTCTAGTTTTAATTTTTACTTTTTATTTATTTCAGAGTTATGTTACCCAGTTCACTTTTATGAAGTTTGAGTTCAGAAGTTTGAGTTCAGAAGTTTGAGTTAAAATTTAAAAAGTTTTGAGTTCAATTTACAAGTTTGAAAGATATACATGTACATGTATAAAGATGGTTTTATAAACTCTTTGGTGTTTCTCATTTTTTCCCCAGAATGTTTCTGGATATCTTCCTTCAGATACATGTATACAACAGATTTACCTAGTATAAATAACATAAATCCAATCCATTGAAGTCGCCGCCCGAATTTGATGATAGCACCCAGAAACTCAACAAAAAATTGTTTATTTTTGTATATTGAGCTTTTTCAATGGAATACATGTTAACACCATTAAGCCTTAAAAACTACAGCTTTGTACATTAATATTAAGTTAAATAAGTCAAGGTAAGCAAAATATGTCGACAACCTAACGGTTTCCTCCGTCGCAACAATCACAGTACGGTTGACGACTTTGTTACTCTTTTACTAAAATGGTTGCCATTTTTTTATTTACCATCAGATTTTCAAAAATATTGTACCATTGTGAAGGAAATTAAATTCTCCTTAAAATGAAATTAACTTGTCAGATTAATTTTGAACTTTGTAGCATTAAGTTTTTCTCCAAAGGTTATCTTGAAAAAAATTTCAAATTTTTTTTCAGATACATCTTATGATACATAAGTAGTGATGAGAGATGCATATTTCTAGTTGACTCCATTGGAAAGAGAATTCAATTTCCTTTCAGAAAATCATAACTTGTCTTCTTTGAAAGTTGATAGGTTTTGAGCTATAATCACATGAACATTTCGCATATTTTTTCGACGTTTTTTCTGAATATTGTCAGGATTTGGCGTCATACATTATAAAACTCACTAGTAATGAAAGGGTTAAGAGAGGAAGGAAGGGTCAGAGGTGTTCTTAAAGATACATTATGGGAGATTCGATAACGAGTTGGCAGTTCTCACTATAATAGTTAAAAACTAGATAATATAAAGGCAATTTGGTGAAAATTTCATTCAAACTGATCCACGATGAACCAAGAACTAAGGGATTGAAATTCCTATAAGCCTCGTTCATCATTACTAAAGTCAGTACGATAAACAGCAGTCTCCATTATCCATTTAATCGTTTAATCGAGAAGGAAAGTTATGCAGTAAATCGGCTTACAATCCACTAAACATCAATGGTAAGCGCTGCCATCTCGAGTTGATTATGGCCTGGATAGGTTAATTAATGTCTAATTAATAATTTAGATAACATTTCAGGCCTAATAGACCTGAAATAGACAGATTTAGCTCTTGCATAATGTATGTTTAAGCAGTGTTTTTGGCGACATCTGAAGTTGGCCGACTTATGCATGAAAGTTGATTGTTGTACGCAAAAGTCAAATTAAACACAAAATTTTGACATTTTGTCGGCCCCACCCCCATGGGAAGGGGACCTCCAACTTAAGAATCAAGGTTCAGAGTATTGGGCACTGCTGTCCACTCATCTAGCATAGTAGAAATTTTGTACACGATTTTCGAAACAACCTGAATGTAGCTCCCTTATAAATGCTGTTGTTCCTAGGGTTTAATGTCAACTGATATCAGACAAGTTGTTTTATCTTTAGCATATTCAGCACATAACAGTCTCTAAACCACCATGGCCATACCATCTTTAGTGAGAAATAATTAAAGGAGGAGTACCAGTTAATAATAAAACAGGCTAATTTGGAGTCTAGGTCTCTTATGGAATTTAGGTGGGTAAGATACTGGGCTCGCTAGACTGGACGTCGGGTGTTCGATTCCTGCATTGCCCGAGAAAGTTCCTCCAGATTTTCTGGCGTGGTTCCCCCTGGTCAGTGATGCAGGACGGAGGGCCTGACAAGGACAGCTGTCCAGTCGTTCGGATGGGACGAAAAACCGAGGTCCCGTGTACACATTGGTGTGCACGTAAAAGTCACCAAGACAGATGGAATTCGATATAAGAGTAGGCCATAGTGCCGCTGTTCGGGCAAAATTTCCCTCATACCACACTGTTGTGTATGCCCGTCTTCATTAGCCCAGTTCGGAGCAGAACAGTAGGACGTTAAACCCCATTTCATTTCATTTCTATATATTACCTGAACTGGATATGAAGGACAAGTAACTTGAAATTGAGTTGTTGAGTGATGTCTTGAATTCAAGTAACTTTCATCATATGGTAAAACATTTATATTTTTACATACATTACCCTGTAAAATATATACCATATATCATAAATATCATACATATAGACAATAGAAAAGTGTTTAGAATAATTAGAATAAAGTTGTAACATAACTTACTTCCTAATCAGATATACATGCCAACTACTCTCTATACATATATGACAAGGTACATAATCAAAATTTAGGCTTATGTAGGAAGTAACCAGTTTTATCTTAATTTGCCTAGTGTGTCCACTGTCATTCACCCGAATCAAACATATTTGATATATTCGCCTAGTGTGTACGCTACACCGAAGGATTCATCTGATTGTACAATTATTAGCAAATCACCACTCATCATCCACTCATATCGAGAAGTCATGTGAATGTTTGAAGACAGGGTCTCTGGCTCTCCGCCATTATTAATCATGTGACGTGAAAGATGATGAAATTGACTGGTGAATTGGGCGAAGGATTCAGCTCGTGTCCACCGCTTTAGTATGTCATATCAAAAGTGAATGTAGACATGTCAGCACTCCCAATTTGGCATGAAATACATCAGTTTTAAAATCTCATCATTAGAACACTTATGAACCAAACTTAGCCCTTTTCAGGCAATAAATATTTTATCACTTCACTATCGCTTATGACCCATGATTGTGGACATTTCTCAAGCCTATTAGCCAAAGGGAGAACACTTCCTTTTAAAAAAACACTATTTATCTGGTAAGAAACCATTTAACTGAATCATGCCTGGCGTAGTATTTAATCTTAATGAGAGAAAGAGAGAGTAATGAGGACCCGAGAAACCCATGAGGTTGGATAATCTAAATGAAGATTTACTTATGATTAGTATAAACTTTAGCATTATGATCATATAATTTATGAAAACAGTATCATTTGCAATTATACTATAGATTTAAATTTTAGGAGAGAGAAAGAGAAATTGCGTTAACATCCACTTGAAACAAACTAAGTCATTTCAGGACTAACATGTGGTCATTAGCAGTGGTAGGAAATCGGAGGACCCACAGAAAACCCACAAGATTAGACTGGCAACCCTTTCCTTGTCACATACAACCTGGGAATCGAAACCAATAAACTTGACTCAATTACAGATCTTATGAACAGAAGAGCAGGCATTAGACCAAGAACATTCGGCCAAACAACCATAGTAACTAGCTAGTAACACAGAACTAATTCTTAATAAGATAGTCAAACCAATTTTTTTTATTCTTACCTCATTCGCTTCATGTATATATACCAGTGGAATAGCTAATGTTGTAAAACTTAAAATCTCTAGAGCTTTATAAGGTATTGAATCTAATATAATTATGTTTTGAGTCTGAAGTGCATCCTTTAATTTGACATCTGATTTACCTTTGACAAATAAAAAATTAACAGATAGCTGAAATCAAAATGAAATACCATTAATTCAAGAGTAGCCTCCCATAACATTAATTCAAATGTTCAAGTATAACATGGATATATAGACCAGGAGCCCAGGGTGTCAACCTAGCTGAAAAGTGTACCAATTTTCACCTATATGGTATCAATGCATGTATATCTGGTATCATCAGAATGCAAGTCTGTCAGGTTTCTGATGGTAGGTGTGGCTGTGAGGGTTGTGATTCTGGGCATGAATTCTTGGGCTAGATTAGCTCAAAAGTGGACAACATGAAAATGGTACAGCAGTGTACCTTACATCTTCAAGAATTACAAAAACAGTTTGACAGACATTTCTAGTGGTGGGGTACCCCTAACCGTGCTATGTAATTTCCAGATACCTGTAGTGGTGGAGTATCCCTGACAAGAGTTATCTAATTTCCAGACCACAGCTAGGCAAGATTAGCTGAAATCTGCACCAGCTAAAACAGCTTTAGGGTTGTTCGGTACCACCACAGGAATCATGAATGACCACTGCCAGACAGTTTGTGCAGTGAGTTACCCCTAACAGACACGCCCAAAATGTCACGCCCTCAACTAGGACAGATTAGCGGGCTGTTCCCATGTTCCGAAAAATTAAATTTTTTGCCAGGATGCGTAGAATACTAATTCCTAACACCTAAGTCAAAAAACATTATACCTTATTTAGAACAGATATAGTTTCTGATATCCACAGATCTTTTTGGGATATTTTTGCCACTGATTGAGTTGTTATTATGCCTTTTAAATTTTGCTTATAGCCTTTATGATGTTGATTATACACTAAATCACCAGTTAATAACTGAAATTTAAAAAAAAACAACACACATGTAGATACTGTAGAAGTCATCAATGGAAATGGTGTGAGAGAGAGAGAGAGAGAGAGAGAGCGAGAGTTGGGGTTTAAGTCCACGCAACATAAACTAGGTGATTCAGGACTAAAATGTGGTGCAATTTTAGTACAACTGACCCTACCCCCTTGTCTTGAACATGTATAAGCTGGGAATCGAAACCACACCACTTGACTCAACGACACAGACCTTATGGTCTAAAATGCATGTGTTAGACCATTCAGTCATTCCCCCCCCCATCCCCAAAGGTCATTCACAGTTTTTGGTATAGCTTTGTTTCAATAGGGATCTATAGCAGTTGGAGGTTAGGCAAGCAACATCACTACTTTATTCTTTGAATGGCATTTATAATTGGAACATAATCAAATAAAACATTATTTATGGAAAATAATTACTATGGTTTATTTGACTGCGATGTTTCGACAAGATTTCACAAGTCGTTATCAAGCATATCATCACAAATAATTCTATTTTCAATTTATTTATTTGTGTTGATATATGCTTGATATAGTAATTATTATCCATAAATACTTTGACCACTACTTCTTGAGTACAACCCATCCATTTTGTAGAACATGTTTGAATTATGGTCAAACATAGAGTTTAACTATCACTCCAGAAATTATTCAATCAAATGTATTTTGTGCTATGTCTCTTTGATGTTGACATTTGTCTATTATCTGTCTAGGTCCATAAAAAATTATAGAATTCTGAAATCTTGCTAGGATTGTCTGTTTTTTTGATTACATTTTCCATGAAATAGGAATCAGACACTATCAAAATTCAAGGGTGTATATAAGAACTAATCTTGGGGTTATATATAGCCCTTGATCAGAAACATTGAACATACATTAAAGGCTCAATACCACTCTTGTTGTAACTGAATTATATGTCCCAATCTTTATTCTGGTCAACAAATTGTACTATTTTAGAATATTTCAATTAATTGATGATACAAATTTCATCTTAACACACCTTATTTAAAAATTTTGAAAAATTCAACATAATGGTTTGAAACGTCTAACGTAAATCTTTTCAAATGAAACTTCAATTTAAAAATATTTTCGAACCCTCTGGACAAGTAAAATTGGATGTAATGGATAATTTACACAACAGGTAGGACACTTAAACATCTAGTACTTAGATAGAGACATTATTTATTTTCTGGAGCTTTCAAGCCAGCAAGAGTGTTATTGTCCCTTTAAGTAGTTTTCAATATATTTTGTCACAGACAATATCAATCATTGAGCAAGCCTGAATCTGTATACTTCTTCTAGACAATTCTTGCAAAACCTCCCAGAATATCTGATAAAAAAAAACCTGGTGAATATACATGTAAGCTCACCAATGATCTGACTGGATGATTGTTCTTCATCAATAATATGTCATCTGTTGTACATGGTAAAACCAAGCCATTTACAAGCCTGGTAAAATCTGGATTTGGACCAATTAATAAACATGAATTGAGAAGACGTGTATGAAACCTAAAATTTGAAGACCATCATTATAGAGATACATAAATCAAACACTACATTATTTATAAATATTGCCAATAGTTGTTGGGTTGTGTTTTTGCTGCTATATATTTAGCAAGAGAGATTTATTAGTGAAGATTTAAAGTACAAGATCATAAAATCCTAAAAATGGATAAATTTCTTGACAATTAAAGCCCATGTTCTGCAGCTGTTGATCATAACATCATTCAATGAAGTGAACTACCCCAAGATTAGTCTGTTATTGTGGGCATGTGATGTAAAGTTTTGCCATAAAAAAGGGTATTCTGGTACAGTTTTTGTTTTACATTTTTTGTAATTTTGACTTTGTTAGAGGGTCACTGGATTAAATCTATACATGTTGTTCATCTGATATTCACTTCATTGACCTAATAAAATGTGCATTACAAGCTGTTTAATACCATAGCTACGTCAAAATTACTTTAACATTTTTTGTGTTAATTTATGTTATTAGTCCGGCATCATGATCATGAGCAACAAAAAGTACTGCTGTTAAATTAGTATTTTGAGTTAGATTGACTGACAAGAATTCAGATCAAGCCTTTGATTTATGGAAGACAAACATGATGTTTTGTTGTTGACTTGAAAGTGACCACTATTTGAATTTTGGCAATCAGCGGAATGCAAAATCGATTAAAAAAAAAAAGAACGATTCTGTATCAGCAAAGAATATAGATCTGTCCCCGGTTTCAAAAAGCATTCGAAGACTTAAATCAAGAATTTACGGTACTCAACTTTTAATTACCATTTATGAGAAATATCTTTGATCCAGAAACACAAAAATTTGTACATAGTTTCTTATAGATGATAATTTAAACAACAAACATTTTATAAACGGCTCTATTTTAGTTAAAACAAGATGACTAGTCATCACCATCCTGCGCCCTTGCTTGCACTTGTTTGGAAGGCATAAGGAAACACAACTTCTTGGAATATAAATGGGATTAGTCAGAGAATTCATACTCTGATCACAGTAGCTCGGCAAGGCACGGTCGCAACTCTCTGGAAGGTTTGCACAACAACCTTTGCCTACCTCAATCAACTGCTGTATGTTAAACAATAAGCTTATACATCAGAAAATAAAATACTATAATAAACTGATGTTTGTACAAAGTTTCAAATATATTTCTTGAACGGATAATGAACAAGCTAACAGTGAGGCTGATGTCCCCCGCCGAAATCCAAAAATAAATAGATGACACATATTAATTAATTGAACGTTTAACTTTTTCAAAAGTATCGAGAAATCAAACTGATTATCAACTATACACAAATTTTCATCAGTCTCTATCAGTTAGAATCAAAGTCAAAGAAATTGCTTAGCTTTAGCGGGAAATGTTAATCGTTGAACTCAGTCAAGACATTCACCTATTGAACATCAACATCAAGTTTAAACATTCTACCTTAATTTAAAGCAGAGTTGTTATGTTCCAAAGTCTTGACCAATCAAATTGCTTATCGCTCCTTAGCCTAAGCAAAAAATTCTCATCAAACTTAGTCAAGGTTATGATATAATGAATCTATACTCAAATTCATAGCTCTCACTTAATTATCGTGTCCCAAAGTATTAACCAATCAAATTGCTTATCTTACAAAGTTTCAGAAAGATGTCTTGAACGGTTTATGAGATCTACTCCGGAAACGAAATCGGGACAAAGGTCGGACGCCATTTCAATAACCCTCCCTAACTTTGTTTGGTGCGAGATAATAAGGAAAACAATTTTGCATAAATTCATAAATCAAGTCTGAGTATGTTTTGTGAAACCAGGTCCGGAGCTTCCTGCCAATCAAACATAGCAAACTTCTAAAATGTAAGCTTACGTCTTATAATCTTCAGAAATCTGTTTTCTCAAACAGTCGACAGCATATTTCATCATATTGGAGCCTCTGCTTAATCCTCTACCAAGAGCTTCAATACAAAGTCTAGCTCTAGTATCTTTGTATTCATCCTCTAAAGGTTTAAATGTCATGTTCACAAACTGTGATTTCTTAGTGGGGGTGCTTTGAACAGATTCTAAACAGGGTTGCTTTTCCAGTATTCCACTAAAGTTAGTAGGAAAATCATTTGTTTTTTTTAAATTCAGATCTTTGTCTAAAATGTTCTTAGTTTCATGTTTTTTATTTGCTTTAAATGTTTTTAAATGACAGCTAGAATTACTTAAAAGCCTATCAATTTGGTTTGATTCCTCTTCAAGATTATATGCACTTTCAGTATGTGCATCTGGTTGATAATTCAAAGAAAGCTGGCCATTTGTTTTAAAATGGCGACTTGAATTCAACACAGTTTTGGCAGACTTTAAAGATGAAGGTTGTCGAAGTGACAAGCCATGTAATAATTTGTCAATACGTTTCATATCACTACTTGTTTTTGATGAATTACACTCAGTTTCCATATTAAGATTATCAACTTTATCAATACGTTTCATATCACTACTTGTTTTTGATGAATTATACTGAGTTTCTATATAAGGATTATCAACTTTATCTTGATCTTCTACAGAACAATTCCTAGTTGTTTTATCTTCTTCAAACAATTCAAGTTTATTTGTTTTGAGATGATTACCAATGGAATCATCATTCTTTTCTATGTTTTGATCACTTTGTGAATTTTTTAAAGATGTATCTAATGCTCTGATTTGAAAACTCTTATCACTCTTTGAAATGTTATGAGTTTCTAATATTTCATACTTTGTGGGAATATCACTCTCAGGGGCAGAATTAAAACATGAGTCCAATTCATCTTCACCATGTTCTTTCGCTTCCTCTTCATCATCATCATCAAAACAGTCTTCAAAATCAGAATCATATTGACATTTTCCACTGGATGTCAACATACTGAAATTTCCATCTTTTTGATAAAAGGATATTTTACGCATTTTTTCAATGTGAGTCTCAAGGATTTCACATGAACCCTCTGAAGTCAGTGGATTTGTTGAATTTTCAAAGAACCAAGAAATATCCTCGTTATCAGATATTAATTCTTCTTGACTTTTTAATGTTTTCATTTCTAAAAGAACCGGCTTACAATTCACTATATCTTCATTATCATTGAATTTTTTCATTTCTGATCTGTCATTCTGGACATTCTGCATCAATTCAGACGGAGTCTTAAACTGAAGAGGAACATCTAAAAAATCACTGGAGACATTACAACCAACTCCATCTTGAATTTCAAATGTCTCTTTTACTAAAAATTTACTTTCTTTTTCATTTATTGCTTTTTCGTTCAAGGTTACATATATGCTATCTCCTTTTACTGCAACTGATTTATCTTTATATGTTGTGCCTTCCTTGGGGGTCACAAATGGGTTATCTCCATTTATTGAGTCTACCTTCAGGTTGGAATTTGAGTTGATGAGCTTGAAAGGAATGGTAGTGGTATTAATGTGCTCAATACAATCATGGATAGCTTCTCTCATTAATTTGATGACACAATAAAGAGGAACATTCTAAAATACAAGAAAGAATAGGTAATAGAAACATATTACATACAGTAGAATCAGTGTGAGCAGAATCTCCTTTTCAGAGAAATCTCTTGTAAGTTTTGTTATTATTAAATGACAACCTTGATTGTTTTCACATGTAACAAAACATTGTTTGATACTGATTGGATAAACTAAATGTACCGTCAAAGCCGAGCTTTGTTCTGATCATCTAGTATCTATTTTCCAGCGCATGAAATGAAATGGGTTTAACATCCTACTGTTCTGCTCCGACTGGCCTAATGAAGATGGGCATATGCCGTACAGTGTGCTATGAGAGACATTTTGCATAGGCAGCAGCACTACTATGGCCTACTCTTATATTGAATTCCAACTGCCAAGGGATCTATTACGTGCATGCCAGTGTATTTTCTAATGCCGCGTTGTTGCTAAACCAAAGTTTTACCCCCCCCCCCCATATATATATATATTACATACAGAGTTACAGTACTGAAAATTGGTGACAAATTCAGTGATGGCTTTTTATAGACATGTGGTTGTTTGATAAAATAAAATAATTCCTGGATTATATTATAAATATTATCAAATACACAACAATGGTAGACAGTAATATCAATGTTCGTACAATATGTTTACAGAACTTATAGCGGAGATTCGAGTCAAAGAATTTTTATTCCAATCAAGTTTCAGCAAAGACCAAATTAGCAATGTATGCAAGTGTAAAATTTTACTTGATGTCAGCATTAACAAACATTGATATTTTATGAAGAGGTCACTCACGAAAATTCCCTCGAGTGGCTGCTGAATACAGATTCTACTGTATCTTCCGTATCTTTCACAAAGTAAATGAAGTAATTACCAAAATCATACTTTAGTATAACTTTTTCAAAATAATTCATAATTCCAACCAGGCTAATGAAGACGAGCATACATCATGCAGTGTGATATGAGGGAAATATTGCCCGGACACCGAACGTGACTCGTGTACACAAAACCTCTGGGTTGTTTTTTTTTTTGTCCCATCTGAAGACTATATGCTGTTCTTAATTGCCAGGCCCTTCATCCTGCACAACTGGCAAGGGTAACCCAAGTCGAAAATATCACATGGAACTTTCTCTGCCAATACCGGGATCAAAGTCAAGACATCCAGCTTGATTAGCCAGCACCTTATTCAATGAGCCAGAGCCGGACCTCTCCTCAAAAAAAATATGTTGGCTACCTAAAGCAATATGAAGGGCATACCTGTTGTATTAAGTTGTGTGCTGAGTGTGATAATAGATATACCATAGCTAACATAGTCTTTATACCACAGCCATATTGTCTATGATAGTCTTCACAGATGTTGACTATTATTTCACTCATACCGTCATCCTAAAATAAAATACATAATATTATTCCAATCAGCTGTGTAATAAATAGGAAGCAGCAGGAAGTGGTGTCAAATATTTTCATCTCTAATAATGTGTTGATGGACACAAATATTCTGGATGAATCTGAGTAAAGATTTCTTCTAAATTCAACCTTTGACGAATTTATGATTGTTCATTTTTTAAATCTAATCCTTGATAACCATGTTCACAGTGCAATAATAATGAAGTGGATCTCCAAGTCAAAAAAAATGCATACCTGCACTTGTATATTGTGTAATAAAACAGCCCAGTCTTTAGCATAAACAACATCATTTCCATCAATAATACATTTCACCCTACAATATAAAACACATCACTACCATCAACAACACATTATACCATACAATACAAAACACATCACTACCATCAAAAACACATTATACCATACAATACAAAACACATCATATCCATCAACAATACATTTCACCCTACAATACAAAACACATCACTGCCATCAACAATGCATTCCACCATACAATACAAAAAATAATCATTACATTTCACCCTACAATTATACACACATTTCCATTGAACACAAATATATCATATAGCCTGTAATATATTGAATATTTTTTTCATAATTGTAAAAACTATTTCTTTGTCTACGAAACAGCATATATACCAAAGCAGCCATTGACAGTATCCAAATCAATTTTTGTGAAAAAAACTTTTAATGCTTCCTTGAAGCACAAAAACACATGCTACATTCTTACCCAATTGTCATATCAGTAATGAGAGGCTGATGTCCCCCGCCGAAATCACAAAATAAACAGATGACACATATCAATTAATCGCTCATTTATTTTATTTTTTTTCAAAAGTATAAGCAATCCAACTGATTATCAACTATACAATAAGTTTCATCAATCTCCATCAGACAGAATCAAAGTTAACTTGTCCAAAGCATCACTCTCACTTAATTATAACCAAAGTTATCATGCCCCAAAGCATCAACAAATCAGATTACTTATCCCTGCTTACCATAAGCAGACAATGTTCATCATAGATCTCCATCAAGGCATTCACCAAGTTTGAACAATCTACCACAATAAGGAGGAGAGGAGAATTACTGTGTTCCAAAGTCTTGACCAATCAAATTGCTTATCGCTCTGCTTACCCTAAGCAGAAAATGTTCATTATCGAACTTAGTCAAGGTATTGATGTTATAAAACTATACACCAAGTGTCCTCACCCTCACTCAATTAGAACTAAAGTTATTGTGTCCCAAAGCAACCAATCAAATTGATTATCTCATCTTACCCTAAGCAGAATTCTCATCTTCGAACTCCATCAAGGCATTCACGTAATAAACACCTACGCCAAGTGTGAATATTCTAGCTCAATTAGAATGCTCGTTATTGTGTTCCAAAGTCTCGACCAATCAAATTGCTTATCACTCTGCTTACCCTGAGCCGAAAATGCTCGTTATCTAACTTAGTCAAGGTATTGATGTGATAAAACTATACATCAAATTTCATCACTCTCACTTAATTAGAACTAAAGTTATTGTGTCCCAAAACATCAACCAATCAAATTGCTTATCTCTGCTTACCCTAAGCAGAAAATGCTCATCTTCGAACTCCATCAAGGCATTGGGCTAATAAACACCAATCTGATTAAAAGTATAAAGATAGGTTGCCAGGCAACGAAACATACGCCCACAGCAGCTATATCATCCGGGCAGTCAACAAAAGTTGTCGCATATTTTTACTTTTTTCGGTAATGAAACATTTATAATACATTAAAATCTGATTAAGAGTAACAACTCACTAGCCCTTTCCCTGCGTTTAATGCCCTCAGGCGGATTTTCAATTTTGATTTTGCCACGAATACCGCCGTGAGGCGGGTTGACACGAATCGACCTCTAACAGGTTGTAGCTAAATATCTCGCATAAATTAACGCCTGGATGATAGAGGCTATCTTCTTCCGGTAAATATAACAACAATGGATGCCGTCTTTCCGTGTTCAACTAAAATGTTTCAACCTTAATTTCAACCGAGATTTATCAAATTTTCTCAAGTAAATTAGTAAATAAAACATGGAGGCACCCTCACGCCGACAAAGGCTGACTGTGGAGCAAGCACTTTCAGCCTTGAAATGAATGATATGAAATGATGAAGAATCTTTACAAGAATCAGACATTGAAGACAGTTTTGTAGCTGATAATCAGGGCTCAGATAATGTTTTATCTTCAGGAGAAAGTGAATCAGAAGCGGGTTCTTACCATGCACAAGATATTAGTTCAGAATCAGATAATACTGACCACGATAACGATGTTTCTAGTGACTATCATGGTTCTAATATGAGTAACAGTTCAGATTCTGATGAAAGTATTACTGGTCAAGCACAGGTGACCCAAGCCCCAGTAATAAGGGGTGGTATTCGTGGGCGAGGTCATGGACGCCCAAGGGTTCGAGGAAATCCAGGCCGTGGAGTGGGAAACCGTGGTATTGTCCAACCAGACAGACAGTGGACCGATGTTACAGTCAATGATATAGGGCCTACGCGTCATAGATTTACACCAGAAGATGATCCAGGCCCTCGAAATATTGATCATCTAATGGACAACGAACCAGAGGCCGTCGATTTTTTCAAACTCTTCTTTGATGATGAACTGATGACTAAATTAGTTACTGAAATAAACCGCTATGCTGCAGAGAAGATACAGAATACTATTCTGAAACAGTCAATGATCTAGGGCCTACGCGTCATAGATTTACACCAGAAGATGATCCAGGCCCTCGAAATATTGATCATCTAATGGACAACGAACCAGAGGCTGTCGATTTTTTCAAACTCTTCTTTGATGATGAACTGATGACTAAATTGGTTACTGAAATAAACCGCTATGCTGCGGAGAAGATACAGAATACTATTCTGAAACCTAAATCCTGTTTACAGCGATGGAAGGACACTAACACGCATGAGATGCACAGATTTATAGGCATTCTGTTGAAGATGGGTATTGTAAAGAAGTCATACGTAGACTTATATTGGACAGGTGAATGGACATCGGTCGTACCGTTCTTCAGGGATGCAATGGTCCGTGATCGATTTTGCCTTATTTTCCACACAATGTTACATGTGGCACACACAGATCCTAATGAACCTGTGCCTCAGAGAGGAGCCAAAATACAACCAATCGTGGATGACATTGTAAAAAAATCACAGTACTATTTTGTGCCATTTCAGAATATATCGGCCGACGAAAGCATGATAGGTTTCAAAGGGCGTGTTTGTTTCAGACAATACTGTCCTAAAAAACCGACAAAATGGGGGATACTTGCTCGAACTTTGGCAGACACCACTGGATATATGTTGAATATAAAAATGTATTACGGCCAGACTGATGATCAAGTTCCCGCTGATGGATTATCGAAAACTTCCCATACCATATCGCAATTAGTGGAACCCTATTGGAACCGTGGATACCATATACATACCGATCAATTGTACAATTCCATACCTCTAGTTGAGCATTTAGAAACGAAGAGGACGCATTTGACCCGTACATTGCAACTAAACAGAGTCGGCATACCGGATGAAGTGAAGGCGCCATTACAACTCTACGCCATCAAAGCGAAGAGAAGTGATAATATTTTGTTACTCAACTGGAAGGCAAAATCAAACCGAAACGTAGTTATGATCTCTACAAATCATGTTGGTAACGAAACACAAGATATTGTACAGCGACAGAGAGGAGCAGCTGATAATATAGTGAAGAAACCAGTCGCAGTTATGGGATACTAGCAGGATACCCGGCTTCGCTCGGGGGTCATAACTCCGAAACCGGAAGTGGTAGACTAACGCCACCTGGCCTATGTTACTCCCCGGTCCGACATACCCCTATACCCCAGACTTCGCTCGGGGGTCATAACTCCGAAACCGGAAGTGGTAGACTAACGCGACCTGGCCCCGAACAGACAGACAGACCGACAGACAGACAAACGACAGTCACAAATATATATATAGATAATTTGAGCATGGGTGACGTCGATCTCAGTGACCAGTTGAGTGGGTACTATAGTTTCTGTCGCAAGTCGGTAAAATGGTGGAAAAAGGTGTTTTTCTGGTTAATTGAAGTGACTGTTGTTAATAGCTACATTTTGTACAAGCTAAGTATGCCTGCACCAGTTACAAAGCACAAACTGAGTCTTTTGACATTTCGAAAAATGCTTGTAAGGGGACTTGTGACCCAGGCTGTGGCAGTGCCCGGAGCACCCCCTAGGAAATGTGGAAGGCCTCTTGAAGCCCCAGCACTTCAAAGACTTGATAAACAATTCCATAGAATTGAAACCGGGGCTAGAAAATGTGAGTGTAAGGTGTGCAGTAACAGAAAAGAAAATCATCGCCACAAGACACATTTTTTCTGTGGGACATGTCACGATCAACCCGCCCTCTGTGCAAAGGACTTTTAAACCGCTATCATACACTGGTCGATTATAAAGCTAATAACTAAGTGAGTGAATAAAACCAGTTTGTATTGAACTAAAATGATATTTTGTATTTTTCAGGGGGTGTTTTTTGCAGATTTTGGGGTCAGATTTTTTGACCCCTTTATTGACAAAAAAACCTTCACCTATCCCTTATCATGAAACTTCCCCAAAATGATCAGCAAATTATTCCCTGAGCTTTTATGAACTCAGAAAACTTTACTTCATCAAGTTATCTTTCTTAATAAGAAAGTTATGGATAATTCAGCTAAAGTGGTTGAAGCGCCAAAAATTAATTCAACAGATTCTCATGATTTTACTAATTATAATTTAGCGGGGAAAGGGGTTAAGTAATTATCAGAAAACCATTAGAATTTGCTTGGTTTTTATAAAGTTCTGCCCCATGCTAACACTTAGTATACAAAACTTTTAATATCATGGATTTAGCTGTTCAAGTCATAAAGATTCATTGATAATCAATATACTTGTTCGTCTCAAGACCTTAAATTCTGTGTATCAATCGGATGATAACTTTAGCCTCTAGAGCGTCCACAAGATTTCTCAAAGTGATCAAGGGCCATAACTCTGACAGTAATTATTGGAAATCGCTGAAAATCAAAAGGCTTCTTCGTCTCATGACCTTAAACACTGTGTATAAATTTAAAGTCAATCAGATATTAACTTTGACCTCTAGAGCGTCCACAAGATTTTTTGAAGTGATCAAGGGCCATAACTCTAGCAGTATTTATCGAAAATCGCTGAAAATCAATAGGCTTCTTCGTCTCATGACCTTAAACACTATGTATAAATTTAAAGTCAATTGGATATAAACTTTGACCTCTAGAGCGTCCACAAGATTTTTTGAAGTGATCAAGGGCCATAATTCTAGCACTAATTATCGAAAATCACTGAAAATGAATAGAATTCGTCCTCTCATGACCTTAAACACTGTGTATAAATTTCAACTCAATCGGATATTAACTTTAGCCTATAGAGCGTCCACAAGCAATTGTGGACGTCGGACCGCCAGACAGACGGCTGGAACGATGGACGGACGAGGGCGACAACAATATATGACCACATTTCAATGTGGGCGTATAAAAAAACAAAACGAAATATAAAAGAGAGAGAGAAATGGGTTTTAACGTCCACTCGACACACACTAGGTCATTTCGGGACTAACATATGGTTCAATTTTATTTCCATAATTCGCTTGCGCGTAGGGGTCTTTAGCGGTGGGAGGAAACCGGAGGACCCAGAGAAAACCCACGAGGTTGGACAGGCGACCCTACTCCTTGTCACGTACAACCGAGGATTCGAAACCACGCCAGTTGACTCAATGACAGACTTAATGATACAGCGCGCACATGCTAACCACTAAGCCATACCCCCCGAAACGAAATATAGATCTGTATTTTAATCAGATTGAATAAACACCTACACCAAGTTTGGACCTTCTAGCTCAATTAAAGTAGAGTTAAATATTGTGTTCCAAAGTCTCAGCCAATCAAGTTGCTTATCGCTCTGCTTACCCTAAACAGAAATTGCTCATCATCGACCTTACAGTTGCAATTGCAAATTTTCAAGTTATATTTTTAAAATGTATTAAAATAAAGCCTTTAAATAGATGGTATCCATAAACAGTCCTACTTTGTTAAAGAATAATCCTATTAATCCTATAATTCGCTATTGCCAGCTGAGAAATTTGCAAAAATATCATTTTTAACTTCAAATTCCAACATTAGAAAATGGCTGCCCCATGTTGTCAATAGCAAAACAGGGGAGGTAATTGTGTTGTTATTTCCTGTGTCATAGATTTTTAAGGGTGGGAAATAATGCCCATGATCGTATAATAGTGATTTGATAACCTATTCAGCAAAAGACATAGAAATAATTATGTTTTGACTTTCTTAGAAAATTTGAAATTATCGCTTTAAGCAAGGTATTGATGTAATGAAACTTTACACCATGTTTCATCACTCTCACTTAATTAGAACTAAGGTTATCGTGTCCCAAAGCATCCACCAATCAAATTGCTTATCTCTGCTTACACTAAGCAGAAAATGACCTAATAAACACCTATACCAAGTTATTATGTCCCAAAAAGTGTGACGAACAGATAGACAGACGGACAGACAGCCGAACCCATTTGAATAGTCCCCTTCTTTATTCAAAAGGCGGGTGACAAAAATTGTTATTATATAAACTCACCCATTCAATCCAAGATTATCTTTGGCTTTTGCACCTGTAAAAAAAAAATCACTTTAGTTTTGCTTTATAAACAAGTAGTTGCAATGCAAGATACACCCACACTTTGCAAGAGATGGACAGAGAACAAGCTCAAAAAATGAGTGATTTTTCGTACAATCAGTGGCCATAATCCAGGAAGTTCATCCGATATGCATGAATACCGAGATCTTTGGGATATAAAAAAACATTTTAAGTTTCATCAAAATCGGATAAAAATTTTGACCTCTAGGGGGTCCACATCCTTGTATTACATACTTTTACACTATTGCGTACAAGGGGTGACTATTTTGTCGGGTAGTTTCATCCCGATTTTCACAAAATTCGAACTCAACTGTAATTAGGGTGTAACAATGACATATTTAAACGTATCTTTCTTTAAATAGGATAAAAATTGTGATCTCTAGAGGGAGTTACAGTTCAATATGCGCGACTATCGTATGGAAACATGACCTACAATGTATGGGATATTAACATATATCTAGAGGGCCCACAACTTTATTTGCATGCAAGGGGCGACTATTTTGTCGGGTAGTTTCATCCCGATTTTCACAAAATTCGAACTCAACTGTAATTAGGGTGTAACAATGATATATTTAAACGTTTTTTTCTTTAAATAAGATAAAAATTGTGATCTCTAGAGGGAGTTACAGTTCAATATGCGCGACTATCGTAAGGAAACATGACCTATGGGATATTAACATATATCTAGAGGGCCTACAACCTTATTTGCGTGAAAGGGGCGGCCATTTTGTCGGGCAGTTTCATATAAATCGGATAATAATTGTAACCTATAGAGTGTCCGATACATGCCAATATCGAAAGGAACTGAGATCTGTTGGAGATAAACGTATATTTCAATTTTTGTTAAAATCGGATAAGAATTGTGACCTGCGGACGGACAGTCAGACATAACATAATCCTTGGCAGCTGGAATGCGATACAAAAGTAGGCTGTACGGTCGCTGTCTGGGTAAAACTACCCTCATACATGTACCACACTGCGTTGCGTATGCCTGTCTTCATTAGCCCTGTCAGTGTAGAACAGTAAGACATTAAACCCTATTTCATTTCATTTTTTCATTACTTCGGTGATTGTATAAAAGTAGGACATTAAACCTCATTTCATTTTAGTTTTTTGAAGATTACATTACCTACGGATGCTTCAAGGTTACTCATCTTTAACAAGAATGATATTCATGGACTTGTATCTGAAATTATATGAATTTTTTTGTCAGCCAATGTTCAACTCAACCAGAGGTTGCCAGGCAAGCAAGATACACACATTTTGTAAGAGATGGATAGAGAACAAGCTAAAAAAACAGTGGTTGCCTGGCAACATAGGCCTATATTTTGCAAGAGATGGATAGAGAACAAGCCAAAATTAAAAGCGATTTTTCGTACAATCAGGGGCCATAATCCAGAAAATTATTGTCTGAAATGCGCAAATATCAAAAGGGGCTGAAATCTTTGATATATAAAGATATATTTTAGGTTTCATCAAAATCAGATGAGTCCACAACCTTCGTATTACATATATTTACACTATTTGCGTATGAGGGGCAGCCATTTTCACCGGCAGTTTTGGTCTGATTTACATGAAACTCAAACTCAACCGTCATTAGGGTGTAACAACAGTGATACATTTATATGTTTTATAAAATCGGATAAAAATCGGACAAAAATAGGACTTCTAGAGTGTCCACAATCTTGGTATTACATACTTTTACATTATTTGTATACAAGCAGCGGCCACTTTGTCGGGCAGTTTAGGTCAGATTTTTATGAAATTCAAACTCAACCTTCACTGATGTGTAACGGTGTTATATTTAAATGTTGTTTAAAATTGAATACAAATTGTGACATCCGAGTAGGTAGGCCTACACAAGCTAAAAATGCAATTTTTCGATCAATCAGGGGCCATAATCCGGTAAGTTACTTTCAGATATGCGCGATTCGAAGTGACCGCCATGTAAGAAAGTTAGTGGAATTTTACCGCTAGTGACTGCACTCGATGGCCTCACTTTCCCTTCTTTGTTCTTCAGACAAAGGAGGCGTTAATTAGCGACAATTAATTAGGCATAACTCCATTAATACAGTCATTGTTTTTTAAGGCGAGCGAGCGATCACTCTCGAGCACCTGCCGCTCACCTGAATGTCAACCGAGGGGAGTTTTTTTTCCCTCATCTTAAAACTGAAAATCACTCTCCTTTCCAGTCTTTGGGGGTTTATTATCATTCATGAAACCAGGAATGCAGTTATTGATCTTAGAACCATTTCCCATTCACTTAACTAATCACTCTCCTTAATATCAGATCACTCTCCTTAATTTCTAAATCACTCTTCTTGTCAAAACTGGGAGCGTTTTTTGAGGGGAGCGATTTTTTCAATTCGTTTATTGATCATTGACTATTGAGGGGATCTTTTTTTGGCTCTCCTCTGATTCTGAAATACATTGATCGATTCGGCTGAAATTTGGTGTGTGGTCATTGCTAGTCCCCCGTAACATCCTCTAATAATTTCAAGTTCCTACGACCACAGGAACTGGTAGAGGTACGAAAGTGCAATAGCGCCATACAAACAACAACGACTGTTAATATAGAATATAGGCCTATCAAACTCATTTGTTGTCATTGTAAAGCTGTTGGACAGCCTTATTCAGAAATAACAGAATTAAAGCAATACGGGATAGTTGAATTTTTTGTTGTCGTCCCTAAACACTAAACAGTCGCCGTCGGTAGGAGCCGATAACATCGGATAAGAATCCGTTACATACAAAGTAACTAAAAAATGTTCCTTATATTTTTACTCTGTTTTTAATAGTTCTGGAAAAAAACGGAAATAAATAGAAGATCAAAACTGGCTTATTCGACTGAACTCGTAACACCACATTTCGGGCACTTTGACTTGTAATTTGTAAACCTAAACCGAACCCTAGAGAAAGATATTTTCCAGATCGTGCACAACGGACCACATCTAAGTCCAAATCAAATAGTCAGTCGAATAAACCGGTCGATGGCTTATTAAAATTTTGGAATCGTTTGTAATCAGTATAAGTTAAAGAAAAAACGCACTAATTCCAATATCTTTTATCATTGTTTTTGTTTATTTTTTACGTCCCCTCATGTTCAAATTTGATTGTTCAAATTAAAACTTTAAGGTGTTATTGCCACCGCGGCTTAATAAAGTCATGCTTTACTTTTTCCCTCATCCCCATATGCCCCCATCTTTTAAGTGCACGCCAATGTGTACACGGGACCTCGGTTTTTCGTCCCATCCGAACGACTAGACATCTGTCCTTGTCCACCTCCAAAAGAATATAGAGTCCCTATATATGATATGTTGGGTTAGGGGGGCATATGGGGATAAGGTATTTGACATTATCATGTGGCCTCGTCCAGTCAATAAAATCAGTCAGTTAGTTCAGTCGATAACATCAGTAAGTTAGTTCATGCTCGTCCCATCCGAACGACTAGACAGCTGTCCTTGTCCGCCTCGAAAAGAATAGAGTCAATATATATGATATGAACATGGAAAGGGGATGCGATGGGGCGGGGGGGGGGGGGGCGTGTCGGGATGAGGTATTTGACATTTTCATGTGGCCTCGTCCAGTCGATAAAATCAGTCAGTTAGTTCAGTCGAATAATCCAGTCGAATAAACCAGTCGAATAATTCAGTCGAAAAGTTCAGTCGAATACTTCAGTCGAATAATTCAGTCGAATAAACGAGTCGCTCAATATTAAGTAGCGGTGGCAGCGGGCTAAGATAATTAGTAGCAAATCATGCTCGTAGCCATAGCTGAAGGAGCCGGGGGCATGGGGTAGGGACCTGGGGGCTTCCCGACTAGTTTCAAGAAATGAAACGAAATGAAATGGGGTTTTAACGTCCTACTGTTCTGCTTGGAACTGTGCTAATGAAGACGGGCATACGCCATACACTGTGGGATGAGTGAAATTTTGCCCGTACAGCGGCACTACGGCATACTCTTATATCGAATTCCATCTGTCAAGGGATCTTTTACGTCCACGCCAATGTATACACGGGACCTTGGTTTTTCGTCCCATCCGAAAGACTAGACAGCTGTCCTTGTCCGCCTCGAAAAGAATAGAATCCCTATATATGATATGAACGAAGAAAGGGGATGGGGTGCGGCGTGAGGTATTTGACATTTTCATGTGGCCACGTCCAGTCGATAAAATCAGCCAGTTAGTTCAGTCGAATAATCCAGTCGAATAAACCAGTCGAATAATTCAGTCGAGAAGTTCAGTCGAATACTTCAGTCGAATAATCCAGTCGAATAATTCAGTCGAATAAACAAGTCGCTCAATATTAAGCAGCGGTGGCAGCGGGCTAAGATAATTAGTAGCAAATCATGCTCGTAGCTATAGCTGAAGGAGCCGGGGGTATGGGGTAGGGACCTGGGGGCTTCCCAACTAGTTTCAAGAAATGAAAAGAAATGAAATGGGGTTTTAACGTCCTACTGTTCTGCTTGGAACTGGGCTAATGGAGACGGGCACACGCCATACACTGTGGGATGAGGGAAATTTTGCCCGGACAGCGGCACTACGACATACTCTTATATCGAATTCCATCTGTCAAGGGATCTTTTACGTCCACGCCAATGTATACACGGGACCTCGGTTTTTCGTCCCATCCGAAAGACTAGACAGCTGTCCTTGACCGCCTCGAAAAGAATAGAGTCCCTATATATGATATGAACGAAGAAAGGGGATGGGGTGGGGCGGGGGTGTGGGGTGTGTGTGAGGTATTTGACATTTTCATGTGGCCTCGTCCAGTCGATAAAATCAGCCAGTTAGTTCAGTCGAATAATCCAGTCGAATAAACCAGTCGAATAATCCAGTCGAATAAACCAGTCGAATAATTCAGTCGAAAAGTTCAGTCGAATACTTCAGTCGAATAGTTCAGTCGAATAAACAAGTCGCTCAATATTAAGTAGCGGTGGCAGCGGGCTAAGATAATTAGTAGCAAATCATGCTCGTAGCCATAGCTGAAGGAGCCGGGGGCATGGGGTAGGGACCTGGGGGCTTCCCAACTAGTTTCAAGAAATGAAATGGGGTTTTAACGTCCTACTGTTCTGCTTGGAACTGGGCTAATGAAGACGGGCATACGCCATACACTGTGGGATGAGGGAAATTTTGCCCGGACAGCGGCACTACGGCATACTCTTATATCGAATTCCATCTGTCAAGGGATCTTTTACGTCCACGCCAATGTATACACGGGACCTTGGTTTTTCGTCCCATCCGAAAGACTAGACAGCTGTCCATGTCCGCCTCGAAAAGAATAGAATCCCTATATATGATATGAACGAAGAAAGGGGATGGGGTGGGGCGGGGTGTGTGTGAGGTATTTGACATTTTCATGTGGCCACGTCCAGTCGATAAAATCAGCCAGTTAGTTCAGTCGAATAATCCAGTCGAATAATTCAGTCGAGAAGTTCAGTCGAATACTTCAGTCGAATAATCCAGTCGAATAAACAAGTCGCTCAATATTAAGCAGCGGTGGCAGCGGGCTAAGATAATTAGTAGCAAATCATGCTCGTAGCTATAGTTGAAGGAGCCGGGGGTATGGGGTAGGGACCTGGGGGCTTCCCAACTAGTTTCAAGAAATGAAAAGAAATGAAATGGGGTTTTAACGTTCTACTGTTCTGCTTGGAACTGGGCTAATGAAGACGGGCACACGCCATACACTGTGGGATGAGGGAAATTTTGCCCGGACAGCGGCACTACGGCATACTCTTATATCGTATTCCATCTGTCAAGGGATCTTTTACGTCCACGCCAATGTATACACGGGACCTCGGTTTTTCGTCCCATCCGAAAGACTAGATAGCTGTCCATGACCGCCTCGAAAAGAATGGAGTCCCTATATATGATATGAACGAAGAAAGGGGATGGGGTGGGGCGGGGGGTGTGGGGTGTGTGTGAGGTATTTGACATTTTCATGTGGCCTCGTCCAGTCGATAAAATCAGCCAGTTAGTTCAGTAGAATAATCCAGTCGAATAAACCAGTCGAATAATTCAGTCGAGAAGTTCAGTCGAATACTTCAGTCGAATAGTTCAGTCGAATAAACAAGTCGCTCAATATTAAGCAGCGGTGCAGCGGGCTAAGATAATATAGTAGCAAATCATGCTCGTAGCCATAGCTGAAGGAGCCGGGGGCATGGGGTAGGGACCGGGGGGCTTCCCAACTAGTTTCAAGAAATGAAAAGAAATGAAATGGGGTTTTAACGTCCTACTGTTCTGCTTGGAACTGGGCTAATGAAGACGGGCATACGCCATACAAGTCCACGCGAATGTGTACACGGGACCTCGGTTTTTCATCCCATCCGAACGACTAGACAGCTGTCCTTGTCCGTCTCGAAAAGAATAGAATCCCTATATATGATATGAACGAAGAAAGGGGACGGGGTGCGGCGGGGGGGGGGGGGTGAGGTATTTGACATTTTCATGTGGCCACGTCCAGTCGATAAAATCAGCCAGTTAGTTCAGTCGAATAATCCAGTCGAATAAACCAGCCGAATAATTCAGTCGAGAAGTTCAGTCGAATACTTCAGTCGAATAGTTCAGTCGAATAATCCAGTCGAATAATTCAGTCGAATAAACAAGTCGCTCAATATTAAGCAGCGGTGGCAGCGGGCTAAGATAATTAGTAGCAAATCATGCTCGTAGACATAGCTGAAGGAGCCGGGGGTATGGGGTAGGGACCTGGGGGCTTCCCAACTAGTTTCAAGAAATGAAAAGAAATGAAATGGGGTTTTAACGTCCTACTGTTCTGCTTGGAACTGGGCTAATGAAGACGGGCACACGCCATACACTGTGGGATGAGGGAAATTTTGCCCGGACAGCGGCACTACGGCATACTCTTATATCGAATTCCATCTGTCAAGGGATCTTTTACGTCCACGCCAATGTATACACGGGACCTTGGTTTTTCGTCCCATCCGAAAGACTAGACAGCTGTCATTGTCCGCCTCGAAAAGAATAGAATCCCTATATATGATATGAACGAAGAAAGGGGATGGGGTGGGGCGGGGTGTGTGGGGTGTGTGTGAGGTATTTGACATTTTCATGTGGCCACGTCCAGTCGATAAAATCATTCAGTTAGTTCAGTCGAATAATCCAGTCGAATAAACCAGTCGAGAAGTTCAGTCGAATACTTCAGTCGAATAATCCAGTCGAATAATTCAGTCGTATGCCCGTCTTCATTAGCCCAGTTCCAAGCAGAACAGTAGGACGTTAAAACCCCATTTCATTTCTTTTCATTTCTTGAAACCGGTTGGGAAGCCCCCCGGTCCCTAACCCATGCCTCGGCTCCTTCAGCTATGTCTACGAGCATGATTTGCTACTATATTATCTTAGCCCGCTGCCACCGCTGCTTAATATTGAGCGACTTGTTTATTCGACTGGATTATTCGACTGAATTATTCGACTGAACTATTCGACTGAAGTATTCGACTGAACTTTTCGACTGAATTATTCGACTGGTTTATTCGACTGGATTATTCGACTGAACTAACTGACTGATTTTATCGACTGGACGAGGCCACATGAAAATGTCAAATACCTCATCCCGACACGCCCCCCCCCCCCCGCCCCATCGCATCCCCTTTCCATGTTCATATCATATATATTGACTCTATTCTTTTCGAGGCGGACAAGGACAGCTGTCTAGTCGTTCGGATGGGACGAGCATGAACTAACTTACTGATGTTATCGACTGAACTAACTGACTGATTTTATTGACTGGACGAGGCCACATGATAATGTCAAATACCTTATCCCCATATGCCCCCCTAACCCAACATATCATATATAGGGACTCTATATTCTTTTGGAGGTGGACAAGGACAGATGTCTAGTCGTTCGGATGGGACGAAAAACCGAGGTCCCGTGTACACATTCGCGTGGACGTAAAAGATCCTTTGACAGATGGAATTCGATATAAGA